ATGCAATGAATCACATTTTTCCCCTCTCTTTCATTGACGAGGATTTTTTGTTGCGTGGTTTTCCTTTTTTCCTTTTTCCTCGCTTTGTTTTTTTCCCTTCCCATCTCTCTTTGGCCTGATACGAGAGTAAGCGTGTCAATTAAGAGGGAAACCCAGGGCTTTGCCATATTATAGGCCTAGCTGTGTTCAGGCCTGTGTTTCTAGCCCTAACCGTATTCTAGCCGTGTTCCGGGCCTGTGCTTCAAGCCCTAGCCGTGTTCTAGGTCTAGTCGTGTACGTGTTGATGGATGGCCGTTGGGGGTGGTACCTACCGGTGGTTAGAGCCAAAAAAGGGAGTGCATGGAATTAACATAGAGATGAAAGAGGATCCAATTACCTGGCCTTTCCATCATCCCCGCCAGTCAACAAATGAATCGCATTCAATTGAATCCCCTCGTGTGTGACGTCAACTGGGCCGGGCTGGAAATTCTCCCTCCCTTTCCCCCTCCCTCGTTTTCTTTTTTCGTTCGAGTGGGTCTTGCATTCGGGCGTTGGGGATCTATCGCTGCATTACCATATTGATGTCTCGTAAATAACTTATATCTAGGGTGGCTGTTAGCCTGCATGACTACATCACCGTATTCAAGTTCCAATATTGCCCAACTCGAAAGAGGAGAAACTCGTTTTCAAACATCAATCTTGTTCATCCTCTTGCTCTGCGTAATTAGTGATTGATAATTGGTAATTGGCATAATTGGCTCTAATATGACAGCTGCCCTGGCTTTGTTTCAGGTCGCTGTTTTCACAGTAATGAACTGAGTAATGAACCGGTAATGAGAAAATTGTAACCGCATGGTAACATCTGCATTGAATGTGGGATTGAGAACTTATGTTGTTCAACATATTATCTTGATGCCCATTATTTTTTTGTAACCCCTTGTCCCGATCCAGGCGACTGACAGAACAGTTTAATAACCGCACAATCTCTCAATCGCACCGCCCCTCCTTCACGGTGGCGGAGGCGGGAAGTACTGAATTCCCGCCTCAGCCTCTGATTTAACCCGACAGTCCGTCATTTTGAGAAGGCAGGCTTCGCTCATATATGAATACGTAATATGGCGCCATTCAGAAGGGGGCTGCAATCGATCGGGAATCGTTGTAACTTGTTCAATACGGAATTGACTGCCGACGGAAAATTGAAGCTGGATAATTTCGTCGGAAATGAGCCTTCATGGAAGGCACAGAGAAGGTAACGAAACCGCCTTCCTAGAAGGCGTCATTCTCGCTTGCGTCTCCCTTTACGCCGAGATCGTAATCCCTGTATGTCGGGTGATCCCATAATCTCATTAAGAATAATTGTCCCCAGCGATCGAGCGCACTCGTCAACGGAAAAGCTGAAGATTGGGCGCAACAGGGATTAGAAATGCGTGAAGAGCATTAAGAGATTCCTCTCCACACGGGAAGGCAATTCCACCAGGGAAGGCAATTCCATACGGAAAGGCAATTCCACGAAGGCCTCATTCTCGGACCCCATCGGATAATCAGAGAAACTGAAGCCAACGGAGAGGCAAGAAGACTCAATGACTCGTGAAATCATTCTCAGGATATTCACGAGTTTTCGTTGCTCGTTCCGAGTGACTGAGGAAGGCGCAGGCTGTGAGTCTGTATCTGAAAGAAGTTTTTTTTTCCTGCCCAAAATGTGGGGGGATATGGGATATGGCATGTCGTAATTGGGAGGGAAAAACCCCATTACTCCAAAGGATCCCTTCCTTTTTGCGGCCGCCGAGAGAAAAAAAAAATCAGGGAGCAGGGATTCCTCCTAAATATAGATCCGCTCCCCTCCGCGTCACTCTCATGAAGAGATCAACTGCAGTGGACGCTCGTTCTTCATCCCTCGTTCTTCGTCCCCAAGGATATATGGCCCGATCAGCGTATGTGGGGGAAGAAATTCGGAAGTGGGATGGTGGGAATGGCTTCCCTTTTTCCGCCTCATTCACTCCACCCCCGCAGGAACAAATTGGAATTCATGCCCGATATACGCAGGATTCGGGCGGAAGACGGAAGAGAGAGATGAGGCTGGATCCAGCATCCAGCCTCATCGCTCTCTCCTCGATTCCCACTCAAACGAAGTTCTGTTCCATCTCGCTCTACCGACGGCAGTTAAGGACGCTTCACCGCCGAGACTTGGACGGAGTTCAAGTCTCATCGACGATCGCTTCTCCTCCCTCCATTCCTGCCATGCTTCGTCGACCCCCCTCGATCCGTCTTCGCAGGTCAAACGAGGACCTCGATCGTACAAATAGGGGGAAAAAAAGCTGCGGATCGCTGCCGGTAGATGGAACAGCAGCGGGAATCGTTGCGGCAATCGCTGCGACCTAAATGGTTGCAAAGCGTGAGTAAGAAGTCGCTTCCGACAGCGATTTGCAAATGAATTCGTGCTATCTTTAACGTGGGTTCCATGGACCTATTGTTGCTTCTTTCTTGGCAGGCATCCCATCGCTTACTTGCATGCCCCACAGAGATAATGAGCACGATGTTAAAGGTCCGCAAAATAATTTGTGAATCACCGCAGGTAAATGTCGGCAATGTTGATGACGTTTCACCTCATCGCGTTGTACTTTCGAAGGAACTGAAAGACACCGTCAGTTCAGCATCCCCATGCCCTCGGACGAGGCCGTTTTGGCCTATGGCCATGGGCCCTCCCCGCAACGTTCGACGTAACGGTACGAAAGGTCGAAGACGCTCCGAAGGAGTCCACGTTCTCGGGAACGAGAAGCCCTCGCGACCCGACCGCCTCAGCCCAGGTCGCGGAATGGGCGGAAGCTGACGAATGGATCGCGTGCTACCGTTAGAAGGTGTTCGCGGGAATCCACTAAACATTTCTCATCATCCGGAACGGACGGAAGCACTCCGTCGCGAAAGTGCAAACGTGCCCACTGAATTCAAACGTTCGAGAGCCGAAGTTGTCTTGGCATGTATAATATCAATTATGTTATTTATTTATTTAATTTTTTTTTTCAATGGCGGTTCCTTGCTTCAAACTCTTTAGAGCGCCGACGTTCTGAAGTGAAGGTCTCGCAGAGCGATGAGGCTCGGCTCGAATTTCCAGAGAAAAAAGGAGGACCCTGAAAATTCTTGGTGACATTTCTGCATTCCTTTCTATATCGGGAGCAATCGCTTGCAAAACAGGATCCTCCCGCCCCGATCCCCTCCTTGTCGGGGACTCAAACGCTTTCTCGATGGGGTGCATCGGCATCCGGCATTTCACTGCGTAATTACCGTATAATTACTCACGGCATGTTACTGCATAATTACTTGCCGCATATTGCTGTATTACTTACGGCTTATTGCAGTATTGTTCTTGGCTGTACATTGAAGAAGAGAAACGAGCGAGGAAGTGGTACCGCGTGTCACTACAGCCTGGACAAATGAATTATTGTTTGCTAATTAGTATTTCAGACTGTGTCATCTACGGGCTACCTAGTTCCTCACTTTATTCTGCATTATTATATTGCTTTTTTTTTAATAACAAGGCTATAAATTTGCAGCCCGTCAGGCTAGTCCCACGAAGTGGATCCTTCCCCTTTAAACCAAAGTACATTGCGGGTTTGCAGGAACTAATTACAGGGTGTTAATTTGGGTATGTTATCTCGATATTTCTTTAAGGGGTAAGTGATGGCCGGTTTACTTTTTAGTGACAAAGAAAGAAGACTGACGATTGAAGGAATTCCTGCGGGGAATTCCCGAGTAGCACGAGGGATGCTGGTGCTCTTTTTTTTTTACATTTGTGCTCCTCGAAATCGAACCCTGACAGACTCATCGTAGTTCGAAACACAAAAGGTGGAATTATGTTTTGAAATAAGTTTTCACAATGCAGAGTAAAGTGATGGATTCAGTCCTAAGATTGTATTTTCCACATAGGTTTCAATTTCGTCTGTAGAGGGAGGAGGGCTATCACTTAGTGAAATTCTGTACAGAGACACAAAAAGAGGATTTCCAGGCTCCATCGTCGCGAGGAATGCAAGCCGAGCGGGAAACTTTCGCTTGCAATGGCGAAAGCGATAATATTGATTTCCTTCGTGAAACCACGCCTTTCACCTTTCAAATCAGTATCTCATTGATTCCAACGGTCTCGTTTGTTGCTTTAACAACCCAATTTGAATTGAGCGTATTGCTCTTGACTAACTCCGGAATCCAGATGGAGAAGATAAGAAAATTATTTTCGGACCTCGGGCAACCGTGACCGAGGAGGGAACGTGTATGGCGGCTCACATGCTGCCGGGCTGGGCAGGGCACCTTCCTTCGACTTTGGCATTCGCTTATCTGTAGAGTTGCTTTACCTCCTCTGTTATAAGTTAAAATTACCGGAAGGTGCTACTTGCACTTGTACAGTAGCAGGCCTATGAAGGCGTTATGGTTCCTTCTGCAGCTAGTCTTATCTTCAACGACAATTACTATTTCCTTAAAGCGGACAAAACATGCCAGATTTGAAAGAATGAATTGAAATCATGTTAGCCTACCATCCAGGAAAGGGGGCAGGCGAGCTATAGAAGTGAGTACACCATGGAGGTGGACTCATGATAAAATGATCAGAAAGTGAAACTCTGGGGAAAGGGTACCCCAGCCCATGACTTATTTTGGGGTAAAACTTAGCCAGAACTGAGTAATGCTTATGCGAGTGTAAAGTAGGTCTGTTGACAAACTTCACATGCCTTTCCCTGTACTATTAGAAGTCAAACTTCTCCTGAGACGGAGCCTGGGTCCAGATATGGTTTGCCATCCAGAATCCCATGTATGCTCTAGGCTTAGACAAATCAATATGGTATGGTTATGTGTAATATGCAAGAGCTTTTAGATTAGATTTGCCCAGAAATACTGGAGTCTGTGATATAGTCACAGTCATTGAAGATGAGATGGACAGGCTTTTTTTGTCTTTTTTTTTCTACCCATAGGTGCCCACCTATTCTAGCTACATGACACCTTCAAGAGGAGTTCCATGCTTAGGAAGTATATTTTTGATAAATTAAGGGAATTTGTGCTGTTGCTCTAGGATATATGAAAGCTTTAAGGATACATAGCCTATACCTGGAACTGAAGTGGTTCTTCCATTCTGGTTTTATATATGATAAGAGTATCTGGTATCTGGTGGTATCATCAGAGTATCTGATGGTTGTTAGTCTTAGGCCTATGGTATAGGCCTAGGCTACTGTTGACTCAAGCTGTGGCCCTAAACTAACATCATGCCTCATATTAGCCATCAGCATAGACTTGCTAGAGCATGAATGGATGGCCATTGTTTCAATTAGAGAAATAATGCTGTGACTCCTATACAGGCTTAGGCATAGCTATGTATAAAATAAGCCTAGAACTAGCCTATCATCGACCAAAGCCTTATGGTAAATTCCTTGATGGACTTCAGGCACTTGTAGCATAATTCTTTTCATTATTGATACACTTAGTGTACTGAGGTCTAAGATAGGCCTGCTGTAGGCCTATGGGTGGACTTGCATTTTTTAACAAAAAGAAGAGCTGTTTTGCAATAGAATAAGGAGGCCTTATGGATGCTTTCGTATCATGCAGTACTAGTCTATCAATGTGGTAGTAGAACACTTTCCAAATGGAAGTGGCCTAGGCCATCAAAAAAATCAGTGTCTCCCTCTCTTGTGCCTAATTTTTGCTGGAAATTAACTCATTTTTATCTTACTAAGAGGATGATGTACAAATCTGTGTATAGTAACTTCAAATGTTCATGAAAAATGCATTTCTGGCTCAAAAAATGAATGCCAATAGGAAATTTTTGTCTAATAGACCACCTTTTATACAACTTGGTGTCTTTAGCAGCAATAAATGTAGGTTATGGAGAAATGCATGTCTATGGGCAGTGGATCATAACTGTACCCTCCCTCTCCCCACAATATTTTCTTGTCAGATAATGCTAAAAAAAATATATATATATATATATATATATATTTGTGATACAGCTAGGTAGATGGTTACTCAGAAGAAAGTCTTTTAGACGAAGTTGACAGAACTTGGCGTTTTACCTGCTAAATATACATGATTGATAACATTTTGAGAAATTGACTAATTGTCATCTTAGCAATATCCTAACTGAGGGCAAATATGCAATTTGAAATGTATTTGGGGGCAGTAGGAATAATATAACTTTTTTTTTCATGCTGAAAAATGAAAATGGAGGAATCTTTGGGTTTGCACCAGGAAACAGAGACTTTGGAGTGAAGCTAAAAGTTCTGCAATTAAAAATTTTACTGTAAAAGAATTTGTTGCTTTTCTGAAAATGTTATTTACATCCTATAGTGACATTAACATTATATGATGCCATTTTTTTAACTTTTCTTTTGGGACAGTCAAGTACAACAGGTATTTTCTAGGCATAAATGATACCTAAAAAGGCCTTTCATCCTCCATAGATTTTATTATAAGTCCTCAGTTGCTCTCAAGTCAATGGAGACCATTTGTATAATGAGACCAGGATTGGCAGATGGGTTTGGCTGGAAATTCCTGCAAAACTACATGAAAAAAATTAAATTGCATCACTAAACAGTAAAATTTTCAGTGACCACATGAAATGAACAAGGACATGTTTGCATGTAGTAATCTGTTGGTCAAGGGCACATTATGAGATTGTCAATGGAAAGACTGAAATTAAGATTGCCATTGTTACCAGTTTCTGTCCATCTGCTGGTATCTAGTATCTCTTTATTAATGCCTTGTAGAGAATGTAATTGTAGAGAATCTTTCAGCTCTGCTTCTTGGTATGCAGAATGTATGGTATCCTCGCCTTTCACATTTGTTAGTATAATTGTTGCACGATGGTGCTATTCAACTACTCAATGAATGCAAATTAAAGTTCATCCATGAGTTTGAATGATCACATCAGCATGCTCTTGGCTTCCTGATCAGTCACCATCGTCCATGAGGTGGTCACAAAGGCATTCAAGACACACATGCATCCTGGACTAAGCACATTATCTATAGATAGGATGAAATCCTAGTATCAAAAGATAGTTAATAAAGCTTTATTTTACACTTTCATATGCTTGCAAACATTACACTTTTGTGTCCCATCATTAAGCTAGCAAGGCTTCAGACCCCTACAATGCTTACAGTGGCAGGTGCATGTTACTTGTAATAGCCCTACATTAGCAAAAGTGTGAGTCACTCACTCATGGTATAAAGGAAGCTCCCCAGACCTTTCCAGTGTTGAGTTTCAAATTTACCAAGAGACCAGGTCCATCTTATGATATTAATTCTCACACATGTGCTATGCCTGACAATGACCCAGTTCTCCACAAACAACTGTTCGCTTTGCAACACTTTCCAAATGCTTCAGATCCTATGTTTCCATGGGCCTCTGTGTATTTTTTTTTTTTAAACTATTATGATTTTAGTCATAACAAAATTGGAAACAAATTAAATTCTCTCTAAAGTGAAACAACTTTGCATCCCTGGCTGAATGCATAGAATTTTAAATAGATTCTGCATACAACAGGCTTCCTCCTGCAGCATAGAAAGAAAGCTTCGTTTTTTATTGTTAATATTTTATTTACAAATACTTTTTGTCAAGGGGGGAATAGAGGCACTGCTTACCATTACTGTATAGTTCTATACCCTAATGGAATTTATATACTGGAATCCTGTAATGCGAGAAAATGTCAATATCATTTCATCTCTTGCGTAAAGGATATGTCTATTTGAATGGGAAGATTCGCCTTATCCTCAGCTCTTACGTGAAAAAAGGTTCAGAGCGAAATGCCCTTACGTGGGGAGCAAGCTAATGAATCTTGGGGGGTCATTCCTTATTGCGAGAATCTTTCACCATTTGAACACTTTGCCAGTGTTTACAGAATTCAGGACACGTTATCAATATGGCAGAGCTTTAGCGGCATCATTTATCTATCTAGAAATGATAAATGCATGCTTGTCGTTCTGTTCCAGGGACTGTAGCTTTCGTTGCAGTAGACACATGCGCTAATTCATTCAACATTCAACTAATTTTTGGGTTTTTGGTATTCTTCCAGGTTCCTAATTTTCTGATGATGAACTGATATATAACGTTTCGACCCCATATCGTGATCTCCGCCCAAGGATTGAAATGGCATCAGAAGCTGTGAGTCCATTTTACTATTCGTAACTGAATTTATTTGACCATTCCAAACAAAAGACTTGGTGGTATGGAAGCAACGGGCCCTGTCGAAACACCAACAAAAGTCCTCGTGTATTGTGAAGTGATTCAAAGGAGATTAAGCGAGCTTTCCAACAATACGGAATTAACCGTGATGCGGCACTAAATTGTGAATTGTGCTACAAACGGGAAAGGGAATTACATCGTGGTTTTGTAAAATTCTGATTAGATTTGAATCAATAGTATTCCCGCTAAGTTTTGTACTGACACGAAGCACTTAAACCAAAACCCATTCAGCACGCATGTGTTATATTCTTTTGTGTTGACGGCTTGGGGCATTCGTACGGACTATATGATCAGCATGCATAGTACCGAACATTTTCTCGGTTCCATTAAAGTTGTTTCGTTTTAAACCTTGTATTTACAAGAGCCAGCAAACAACTCGGGCTGTATCGAAGTGTTGGGAAGACCGATTCGTTTATTTCGGAAAGAGAATTTTATATTCTCATGGTATTTGAGTATTTGATCTTCGTTCTTTTAATTTCATTGCTTGAATTGCTTTTACGGAATTTACGTCTTTACGTCTTTTACGTCTTAGGAATTTTGCTTTATCGAGACAAAAAAACGGTTTATTTTAGGGGCGGGAATCCGAGGTGGTCAGCCCAACCTGGTCACGAGCTGAGGAGGGGGAAATGGGGGGGGGGGGGAGGGAAAGACACGCAATGAAGCCATCCGTGTCAGAGGGTGACCAAGCAATTACTAATTGAGAGCCTCTCTTTTCCTCTCCCTCTCTCGTTCGTAATGGAGATTGAAGACTCTCCTGTCTCTTCGCGTACCCGAAAATGACGACTCTCTTTTTCCCCCGTGGTCCTCTGTCCCATTCCTCCCCCCCCCCCTCCCCCTCAACTCCATGACAATTGATTTTTTTTTCCCGTGAGATTTCTCCGGGAGATTGGATCGCTGCAGCCGGGTGGCATCTAGGCCGGCTCTTCCCCTTATCAAAAGAAATGAAGAAAAACACATAAAATACTCGGTTTACTTGGCAAGAGAGAGGGAGAGATGCGGAGATAAAGTAGTTGTCTACCGCGGCCCCGTCGTCGGGGATTTAGAGAAGGAATGGGATGGGATCCTTCTCGTTCCCATCCATGCATGCATGTGGATGGGAACTCACTCCTTCAGGTTTACCTTGACGAGAACGAGATGGAAATGGAATCCAGCAAAACAACAAACGCCCTCATGTCAACCCCTGTTGACACCGTATATATTATTGGATGGTATTGCTTGACGATGTGTCCATATATATTTTTTTTAGGGGAAGGAGGAAAGGACATATACGATCGCTGGGGTGAAGGTTCGCTTCCCCTATCAACCCTATCCCTCTCAGATGGCCATGATGAGCAAGGTAATGGGAGGAAAGGCTTGTTGATTCTGTCTCTCATTCGGCGTGGGCCTCACTCCCGACATGATTTGTAGGTGATCCAGGGGATAAAACGAGGACAGAATTGCCTGATGGAGAGTCCGACGGGATCGGGGAAGAGCCTCGCCCTCCTCTGCTCGTCTCTGGCTTGGCTTACCGCCGAAACAGGTTTGTCACCGCTCTTGCGTCACACTGGAAGGACCATTCCCTTTGATAGCTCTCATTCTCTCCGAAACGGGATATGTATCCTATCGGATGGATTGCGTTTAATCTCGCAAGTGCAATCGCCCTTGACAGCAGCTAATCTCAGTCTAACGTGGTTATTATAACCTGTTTCTTCAAACTGTACGCAACAGCGCGACAAGTTTAGGCGCACAGGTGTCTGACTACGAGGCGAAATTCTCATCTTGCAACGCTCAATTTGCCATGGCCCTTCTACTTTAACTAACACGAAGTGCGGGAGTATGTGCTTGCCCCATTTGCGATCGTGAATAAGTGTGGGGTTTTATCCATTTAATGAAAAAGGAAGGAAAACCTGTAATAACGAGCAGATGGAAGCATATATTTGAGCTGAGCGAAGGAGAAATTTGAAGCCTTGTGGATCTCTTTTGGCGATCCTACCCAGAAGAGAGGCGCACAGAATGGGAAAGGAGAGAGCTCTTCGTAATTGGATACGACACGGGATAATTTTCCTTCCTCGCTTAAAATCCCAGACTACATTTTGGAGCAGGAGAGCTAGGAAATTCTAGGATTCCAAATTTTAATGAGAGTTCTGGGACATATTTCCAATACATTTGAGCCGTTGGCTAGGTATTCTCTAGGCTTTGATCAGCAGGAGCGAAAGAAATCATTCTTACTACTCGTAGTTCAAATAATTATATTGGAGGGAAGGATTTGAGAAAATGCTCTACCGTTCACGCGAACGACTTGAGTCGAGCACCAAGTGTTGCTGAATGCATTGGAATTGGCTGTCGAAGGCACATAGGTATTCTTACATTCTTAAGCATCAGAATCAGGCTTAGTAGGCGCATGGGTATGTGGCTGGCCCTCGCCAGAAGGGGCGCAAGGAACGGACGAAGGAAAGGAGTGCTTTCCTAGATGGCAGCACTGCATTGGTCTCTGTCCTTTGCATCCCATAGAATCTCAATCTTTCTTCAAGCTTCGACTACTCCCGGTTCCTAAGAAAAGAGTGGTTGCTTCAAATGTGAAAGATGTGGGTGGGTATAAAGGGTTCAGAAAGCGTTTCGTTCAGTTCCTTCACTATCGCAGGAACAACCGGCGAAGGTCATTTTCTCAGTTTGATAAAAGCGCTTCCATCTATTGTTTGGGTGTGAGGCCCTTGTTGATGGAGTAGGCCTTTGCAGGAGGGCTTTGTAGGAAATCATTTCTTCTTCTGCCACTGGAAGCTAAGCTCCTGTGGTGACTGATAAGCCCTAAGAAGGTTTATTGGTCTAATCCTTTAGAATGAAGTTTTCAGAAGCTCGGGTATGGTTTATTATGAGTACTTATGATGCACGATGGAAACATGCGGTCCAACTGATGAATCTCTTTCTCGTTAAAGGGGTGAATAGGTTTTCAACTCTATAGATCTAATATGTTTTCCTAGGCACTGCTGTAGTCTTCATTCCTTCTTTTCTCGACTTCTTACGTACTTCGACAGTGTGAAACCTGTGCCATAAATCCCAAGCGCTGATTTTTACGATTGACTTCTCAAAAGAAGTGGTCTTACATCTTGATCATATTTGGCGAGTTACCAGAGGAAATCATCTGGCGACCTCTATGTATGGTTATTGGATACGAGCTATTCACATGTCTAAGGGCAATTTTCGAGTCACGCATCTGTGTCTTTCCCACAATGAACCGTGCATATAATAAAGATTGTTTAAGAAATGGAGATAAGGTATAAAGGAAGCTAAGAGGCACGTGGCGACGAGGTGAAGCAGCGAGCAGAGGAGACTGGGTGTAGTCGCCTCCAATCGACTAGTTTTGAAGTTCAGTGGTAGGATACCTGTGATGAGACGCCAGTTTTTATAACTTCCTGCTCGAATAAGTAGGCAATATGGCGATAGATATGCTCAGAATTTAAAATATAAGTTGGCTTGTTAGGTTTTCACGTAGAAATCGGAGGGAGTTCAGATAATGTTAAGAACGCCTTGAATTTTGAGGGAACAATGCAGGGCAAGCAGTAATTGTAATTCCAGGAAAATTTTGACATTTCTACCTACGTGAAATCGTCTGCAAACCCTCCTCTATAATGGACGAAATAAGTTTTCGTCACCCATACCAGATATGCGAATGCTTAATGAGCTTCGTAATAACATGGAACACATTCAATCTGAACCTGTATTGTCAGGTGTACTTGTAATGTCGAACGGAGGCCTGAAGGACGACAACAGGGAAGTCCTCAGTCCTAATCGAGGAAGCGATAAAAAAAATTTAGGAGAATTGTAACACGAAGCCTTCTGTGTGGGGAGTGACCGTTAATTCATCTGTATCATGGCTCTTACAGCAGAAGCCTGAGTTCTTATGTTGTTGCAGCAGTTTGCAGCATATCATATAGACTCCCTAATTACATATCGTTTTGGGTGCTGTGACTTATTTCCCGTTGATCTACTAGACTCGCTAGCTAACGCGAGGGAAAAAAATTGAGGTTTAGACAAAACGTAAATGATCAAAATAACTCTCAATCGAAAGTCAATATCTGTGCTCTCTGTGATACATGGAAACTTTAAAATGCCACGAAAAAAGAATTCCATAGGAAGTTTCAGCGTCTGCCTTAAAATTTGAGTAAAAGTGGTATGCATTGCTAGACCAGCTTATCTGTGAGATACTTCCCCAAAACTACAATTTTCAATTAAAGGAAAAAGGCTCTATGAAGGCTAAGCAAACTATACTTATTCGGACATTTTTTCGGGCAAAATTCCGTCTCTTTTTGCGCATGTGGTTCACGCACAAGAATCTGTAACTTCTTTTTGCTCCGAAGCTGTAGGCCCGAGAAGCTATGGAAAATTGTAATTGCATGCTATTAGTTTTTATGGGAGAATAAAACGGCAGTATTTTTTAATTCCCTCGTGAAAGTGTCTTAAGTCTCAAAGAAGCGAGTTCATGCTGTGGGATTGGTGGGGGTTAGTATACCGTGGATACATGCAACTCCCCCCCCCCCTCCATCCCCTTCATCACAAGCAGAAAATAAAACAAGGGATGTGGCTGTGGACTCTTTCCCTTAGTTAAGCTGTGTAGTGTATTAGGAGTCCATCTCATTTGCTCCTTTGGCATGCAACTTTGAGACCACAGTCTTATTAGAGCATGGCCTGATCTCGTGCTAATGAATAATAAAATCATATTCGGGGCGTTTTTTTTTTGCAAACTGAGAGTTTCAGAAGTTTTTCTCTTTCCAAAAAAAAATAGTGACAGCCGTCATGATTGCAAAGGAGGCGGCCCTTGCTGCTCCAACGATTGCAGTGATTATCTCGAACTCGAAAATCTCGTTGTGCATCTGCAACGAAAGGGATAATTTATTGTAAAGGGCTCCTGAACCACGTTGATAGGATGGACTTAATTGGATGAGACTGACCGGTACGCGAGATAATTGAATTCGACATTCTGCCTCCATTACAATTGAGTCTCAGACCCCTCCCCCCGGGTGTACTCGGGAACCTCTCCAGAGCTCTTTTAATTCGTTCAGACTATACAAACGTCACTGCTCCCCGGAATGCTGATTTTACCAGTGCGGTCTAGGAACAGATGTAGAATATAAACTAACCAACCGCCTCTGGCGCGTGGGGTACGGGAACCGAGACTAGCAGTACTCTTATATCTATGTCTAAAGTAGACAGGCTTTTTTCATGGCTCTGTGAGGCTCGTTCAGTGGCAGACAATCAGCTCTAGATTCGCCAGTTCCAGTTGGCCAGTTCTACCGCCAATTCGATCTTTCTGTTGAAATTTAACCTTCGTTTTGGAATATGATTCAGTGCTGTGGCTTGATATATGCTTTATGCTTTATAGTAATAATTATATTGAACCATGGGCAGTTTTGATATAACTTCCCACTCCATAACTTCTGTTCACGCAAACATACGGATTCCACAATTGTTCATTTTTGTCTAGGTCTTCTAAGTTCTCGAAGTTTCAACCGTTTCTGTGCAGTACTAGGGGAGCGAAAAGCAAGAATTCGTGGAAATTGTTGTTTTGACGACCGAACATAGTCCGATATAGAGCAAAAACTACTAAACCAGTTTTGATAAATGAGGTACTGATTGACTTGTTCTGACATTTTGGCATGCCTTTTGGCGGTCTCAGGGACTGAAAATAATAATATGCGTCATATAGAAAACCCACGGAAATAAAGAGCTGATTTCGACAGATAGACTCTTCTTGACTTGGTTCCCTGGTGTTTCTTTTGGAGGCTTCACATGCTAACCTATTACTGAAAGTACTGAGAGACTTCCTGAGCTGATTCCAACAAGTACTGAACGATACTTACGACCGAAAGGTCCAGGTTTTCCTTGTAACTAAGAATGCTGAAAGTGATTTTGCCTAGCAAGTATCTATGGACTGCTTTGTCACTGTGCCTTTTTGAGATCTCACGTACAGAGTTCTCGTGCTGCCATGAAAGTACTAAATGTATTTCCTATGAAGTACTGTATCGATCTGACCAGATAAGGTAGGGGTCTCGTCTATGACTCGTCTATGAAGTACTCATGAGTTTGATGCTGTTGTGACTGAGCATACTCTATTGGCATGATTTCGGAAAGGAACGTAAGGAACTACAATGACTCTCAGCAAGAAGGAGGTAAATTAAATTTTAAAAATATCCGTCCGATATCTTGCAAGCTTCTTGTTGATCTGCGTATAAATTCTCAGATGAGTAAGAAACATTTCTGGCAAGTTAAAAAATATTAATTCGTGCTTCAAATGCCATGCATTTTCGACTTTGAAGCGTAGAAAATCCAATTGAAGAAGCAATCAGCGCCCAGCTTCTCTCCCAAGTTCGCCAGCTTGCCCAGGTCCAAGGTGACTGAGTCAGTTGGCAGGTGGTCTCGGTGGAGATATTGGCGTTTGATGTCTCGTATAGCATGTTATTACGATTGGTTTGCTTTCTGGTTGCATTTTAAATAGCTATTTTTTTTTAATGTTGCTCTCAAGTCTAAATCTCCTTCCTTGAAATATTTTCATATAATAGTTTTTCCAATGTAAGAACATGTGATTCAGTGA